TCGATTCATAGAGTATGCTGAGGGCGCTCTTTTTGATTGAAAATAGTACCCCACATTCCCCCGACGGCCTTTGCCTCCTGACATCCACACAAGGAAGGCCATCACCGCGCAACTGTGAACGGCGGCCATCACCACCATCTCCGTGGCGACAGCCGGGCAGAGGCCTCTCGCGACGGCCGATGGCGACTGGCCGGCGCTGTCGGCGGGCGAGTTTGCGGCGCACGCGCTGCGCGTAGGCGGCGCGTGGGCGGGTGGCCCGCCCGGCCGTCGGTGAGCACCGGACGCGAGGGTCGCTGGGTCGGTCGGTCGGCTCCTAACTAACTCGCTGCATATCAAGGGCGTAGACGCCCTTATGCATATAGTAGCGATGAGCTCACTAGCTAGAGCTCACACTAGAGGCCGTCATCGCATTCGCCCTGGGACCCAGCGCTGACTTCTGGCTGTCGTTGCGGTCTATCCCTTTCTCGACTGTCTGAGCTTGTGCGTCTTGGGTTGTGTTTTTGTGTGAACGGTGACTCGAAGAGATGTGCCCGCTTTACCACGGAGACGAGTCGTGAGGCAAGCCGGGTACACATGAGGGGCGCTCTTGTGCTGCTCTTTGCCGCATGCGGGCTGGCGGGGAAACACGGTGGTGCTGGGCACAAGCACCAAACACCAGCCTGCGTTGAGCATCCGAAGGAGTGCACAGACCTCTGCGCGAGCGTTGGCAAGTTTGTAGGAATGAACCGCAAAGGAGTGCAAGACGGACGTGGATGGAGCTGGTACTACCCAGCCGTGCAGAAGTACGCCACCTGCATTCGCGCGGAGAAGTGGGTGGAGGTGGGTGCCGCGTGGGGCGCGCTTGCAAAGCACATGCTGCAGCATGCGACGATCGAAGCAGGTGGGCCGATCGCGGAGTACCACATCGTCGACCCCTTTCTTGGCGGGTATGACGAGAAAGATCCGATGAGCCGGATGTTCCGGTTGGCCGTCGCGAACCAGTCCTACGAGAACATCTCAATCGCGTGGGCCCAAAACATTGGCTGGGCTCTTGGCGGCGGCGGTGAGGCTGCCGCGGGCTGCCGCTTGCGCGTCCACCGCGAGACGTCCGTCAGCGGCGCGCGACTCTTTGCAGACAAGAGCGTCGACGCCGTGTTCATCGACGGGCTGCACACGTACGAGGGCGTGAAGGAGGACATCATCGCGTGGGCACCCAAGGTCAGGGAGGGCGGCTCGCTCATCTTCAACGACTACCCAAACACCGTGTGGTTTGCTGGCATCCAACGGGCAGTGGACGAGGAGGCCGCACGGCGCGGAGTATCGCTTCGCTTCATCAACCCAAAGCAGCATGACAACGCCGTCCTGGGTGGCGATCCCAACTGCGCTGAGCTGGCGCCTCCCCAAGCGAAAAGGCAGGGCAAAAAGCACGGCCACGGCAAAAAGCACGGCGACGCATAGCGCCGCCTACAGGCGACGCACACCGCGGGCGCCGGAGCTGTGCCTCGATCCGGCCCGCCTAGTGTGGGGGAGGGCGGTCATGCCGCGGAGTACGGAGGGTTGCTCGTCCCCGAGCCCACCCCGGCACACAATAAAGCCTTCCAATGCGGGCGGTCATGCCGTGCAGTACGGTTGCTCGTCCGTCGTCCCTGAGCCCACCTCGGCACACACAATAAAGTCTACCAGTGCGGGCGTGTCGCCCCCTACCGTAAAGAGTCTCACCTTATGCTTTGAATCGGCCGAATGGGTGGGAGCGACAGACGGCGCAGCCCTGTCCGCTGCCGACTTGGGCGCGGGATGGCGCCTGTGCGGCACGGACCCGCAAGCGGCGCTCGTCGGAGGGGGCACCGTCCACCGAGACCGACCCTGGCGAGGAGCCGGCGAGCCGCTGGGGTGGGACGCGACGCAGCGAGACGCCTCACCGGCTGCCGTGCCGGCCCCTGTGTCGCGCCCCGCGCTCGCAGCGGCCGCCGCAGCCCTCGACCAGCCCCACAGCCTCATCGACACTCGATGCGATAGACGATGCTGTTGTCGCCATGGTTCCTCCTCTTCCAACATGTCCTCGCCCGACGGACGACGAAGGTGCGCGCATGTACGACCAGCAAGTCAAGTTGCACCACTTAGTGCTCGAACACATGGTGCACAACGACTGCTCGACCAACCCAGCCGCGCCGTGCATCAACCAAGAGGGCTTTTGCAGCAAAGGCTTCCCCAAGCCTTTTCGAGAGGCGACGACGTACAGCGAGATGGAAATATATCCCGACTACCGTCGCCCACGTCCATCGCCTGAGGCGCCGCCGATCAAACACAAGGGCCGCACGGTCGACAATCGGTGGGTGGTCCCGTACAGCCCGTACCTGCTGCTCAAATACCAAGCTCACATCAACGTCGAAGTATGCATCTCCAGAGCGTCAAATATTTGTACAAATACATATGCAAGGGCATGCGTGCGTGCGTGCGTGCGTGCGTGCGTGCGTGCGTGCGTGCGTGCGTGCGTGCGTGCGTGCGTGCGTGCGTGCGTGCGTGCGTGCTCACCTTCTCCGTGAGGCCACGGCCCTCAAAATACTTGGCCAGGTACTCTGGCTCCGACCGCATGATGTCGCTCGATGCGGGCTTCCACGAGCCGGTCACGTAGCTGCGCGTCGAGGCCGTCACGCCGTAGATGGAGCCTTTCAGCTCGTCGAGCTTGGTGGTGGAGGCCTCCTGCTTGCGCGTGCGCGGCTTGGACTTGGCCTTGAGCTTCTTGCCCACGTCCACAGCGCAGATCTCGACCTCGACCGTGACCTCCGTCTCGTCCACAAGCAGCTGGCCCAGCCGCTCGATCTGAACGCGCGCGGTGGACAGCGTGGGCTGGTCGCGGACCTTGAAGAAGAGCGCCTGCTTGCCGCTGAACAGCACCTTGCCCTGCAGGCCGATCTTGACGGAGGTGGGAATCTCGAACGACTCGCGCAGGTACGGCTCGAGGCGGCCCCAATCCTCGGCCGTGACGATGGAGTTCACTCGCAGCTCCGGGGGGCAGCTTGCGAGCAGCGTCACGTCGAAGGTGTCCTCATCGATCGGGTCGTCCTGCTTGATCAGGAAGCGCCACTGGAGCAGGCCCGCCTTGGCGGTGGCCGCCGTCTGCACGCGGGCCGCCTTCTTTGCGGCCTTCCTCTGCTCCCGCTTGAGCTCGCGCTCCTCGCGATCATCGCGTTCGCGCTGCATGCGCTCCTCGCGCTCCGCCGAATCCTCTGAGGACGACGAGGAGGAGGAGGAAAGGCTGCGGTCGCGGCCGCGGTCGCGGTCGCGGCTGCGGCTGCGGCTGCGGCTGCGACCCATATAGAGCTGGCGGGAAGGAGCGTCCATGCGCGCGCAGCGCGAAGAAGAAAAGAAAAACGGCTCGAATAGGCGAGATCGCCGCGAGATCGCACAAGATAGAACGAGATAGCTGGATTGATCTGGATCGCCCCAGATAGCACGTCAATCTGATGAAAAGAACCGGCCAGACCAGGGATGTCCGCCGCCACCGTCATCGCCGAGGTCAAGAAGATCGCCAAGGCGGAGCCGGCCGCCAGCGGCCAGTCGCCCGCGACCGACAAGGCGAAGAAGGAGGAGCCCACGACGCCGGCGCAGAAGCGCCAGGCCGCGGCCGTCGCCGCGCGACGTCCAGCGGCGCCCGCCCGGTGCGTGCCCGCACCACGCCCGCGCGCAAGATGTGAGACGTGCTCTGAGTCATAGTGCGCCGCCGCCCGCGCACTCGCTCGCACGGCTTCCGTTCCGTCGTCGTGTCCAGCTCCTCTTCCTCGAGTAGCGGCGTCGCCGATGACGACGAGCCGCTCGCGAGCGACTCCGAGTCGCTGCTTGACCAGGCCATAGCGGCGCACGCGGCGCACGTGTAGATTTATAGGTGTGTGTGTGGACCGGCGCCGAGTATCTTTCCTTCCGCCGTTCACATGCTGTGAGCTTTGTTGCGTGAAACACCGACCCGTCCCCTGTGGGCAGGTGGAAGTGTCAGAACCGGTTGACCCCGCAACCGGTCTGACAAATGGAGCAGACCTACTTGCATCTCGGTGGAGGGCCAGACCCACAGGACGATTGCTGCAGCACGTAGACGGGAGGAGACTGGGAGGAGAGAGGCTTGATTGTGTAGCGCAGCTCCATCTCTTCACCCCCCGGGAAAAAAAACGGCTCTCGAGTATCGTCTGTGGGAGCTTTCCTAGCAAGCCTCTGTTTCTTTGTCGTCCGCCGTGTCACGCGCAGTGTGTGACCTTCGGCGCACGCCAGCTCACCTGCTTTGAAGCAAACCCGCCCCCTTTGGGGGCGGGGCCTCAACTCTAGTCCCATATATTTACTCGTGCAACAACCCGTGAGCACTACGGGGTGTGGACCCTGAGTTGACCTCGGGTTGTGCGCTGGGCCCTCCTGCTCGGCTCCAGCCAGTAGACAAGTCTTGTCATCAACAGAGTAGAAGGATCTGACCTCGGGGCCGATGTGACCAAGCGCTGGTAGCGTGGTTTAACCTCACACCCATGGTCTCACAGTGTGCCGGCAGTCGCCGAGCAGTGTCGCTCACACAAGCCGCAGCACAAGTGACTGAGGGCCAGTGAGGGCGAGCCCATCGCTGTGACAGCTGTGGCAGCCGCACAGTAGGCTGTGTCAACTGTGCAGAGTGTGTGAGCAGCAGAGGAGCTGCTCTCCAGGCTTCTGTCGCAAAGAGCTGCATGCCACCGAAAGCGCTGTCGAGGTTCGCCGAGCGCGGCGCAGGTTGGAGGAAGCCGCCACCGACGAGCGCGTTGGACGTTTCACTCCGGACAAAGACGGCTACACGCACACGAGCCGCGGTCGTGTAGCCGTCTTAGCGGCGAGGCGCGGGACCGTCTGTGGCGAAGTGGGTCGCGTCCTCCGATTTCCTCAACTCACGGTCCGCTCCCTCTAACCCGCGCTAACCCGCGCTTACCGACAGAGTCACGCAAGGCCGGCCGCACCGTCGTTCTCCTATGCCTGGCTCGCCACGCCACTCCAAGGGTCGCGTCGCCACACTTGTGTTCTCCACAGCGCTCGCCCTCCTCCCTCTGGTAGCTTCACTGGCCGCTCCCCGTGTGCAGCGGGGCCCAGTAAGTCGCGGAATCGCCAAATGTCACAACCCGGTCCACCCAGCTGGCCCGCGCCGTGCTGCCGCTCATCACGCGCTGCTTCGCATCCGCCGGCGCCGTGCCGCCAGGCGGTGTAGAGCTCGAGTCGCTCGTGCGGCTGATGGTGGCGGGGCGGGCGGGAAGGCTGGAGGCCGAGAGCCGCGTGCAAAAT